CATCATACGGTAGGGACATTACTTCCCTAGAGTCTCATTTACTAGCATACCCCTTCATTTATAATCGTTTTGCTAATGTCTTACTGCTAAACATACTGTACCTCAAATTCAAGGCTGCTTTACAGTCCGGTTTAAATAAGCATTGTTTTCGTAATGTCCTAATACAAGAGTTTATTATATAAAACAATATTCAAGAACCATTTGTGTTACAGGTGTGCATAAACCAGCATTCTCTGTAATATTGCAGTAGCAACTGTCCATGACTATGCCTTTTCTTGTCCGATGGTACCAAGCTAAATTAGTATGAATTATGCCGTTGAACAAATCTATTTTGAAATATTGAATCACTGTGACTTTACTAACATTTTTCGGAGTTCACTCTTGCTGAAAGATATAACAAAACAAAATCTTTAAAAAGAATAATAATGGTAAACTTATACGGTCGCATATTATAGAAACAGCTATTAAATGTATTACATCCCTTTATTATTGTATTGAAATAGGAGTACTATGCATATATGTAGCTAACGACAGACTAGCAGTTACTTCTTTTTTAATCAAAAATTTTTTTTTTAGATCTCAAAACAGCTTAGCCTACATTACAATTTCAATATCACTTAAGGCCTATATAGGCCTAATATATACACATTAAGTTTGACTAAACTCTATCGTGTAAACTACAGCACCATCTATAGCATGTTGTTAATAATTAATAGTACAGGACAGTAAAAATAAAACGTCAACAAAACATTATATTCACCTTTAGTAAGTCATGTAATTTTCTGTTCCTTCACGTAGATACATCTTCAAACAAACATTAATATGCTTTCCTACTACAATCACTGGATTGAGTTTTCACTTACAGTAGTTACTGAGACTTGAGAATCCTGAAATAAAGTCACCATTTATGTTGTTAGGCAATTTGATTACATTAACTTTCTCCAAATAATGATACAATTCTTATCATGGACATTAGTGAGGACACGGCCCAAATGCAATTCACCACTCTTCTTATGGCATGCTAGACTGACTATAGGGCAATTAACTTACAGCTTGGCTAGGCCAACAAAAGGCCCAGGTTCTAAGCCTAGCCCTATATCCTAAATGGCCTAGAGAGTTATGTCTGTCTTTGTACAGCGGCTAAGCTAGAATTACCGTTGCAGCTAGGCCTTAGGCCAGGCCAGGCCTCTTCATCTACCACTTCTACTAGGCCTAGGAGGAGGCTAGCGTGTCTGCTAGATAAGTTTAGGGGCAGACCCACTCCCCCTCTCCCCACCCCCACCCCTATAAAGTTCCCATAAGGCTACGTATTAGCGGTTCCAGAAATTTTTCATAGAGTTTGAACAGATTTTTTATATACATTAATACATAATTTTTTTTATAGATATCATTTTTTAAATAATTTTTAATATTTCATTTACAGATAAACACTTCCATAGCGTTCGTATTCATTTTATATATACTTTCTATAGAGAAACAATTTTACAGACTATAAATGTTTCCATAGAGTTTATATATATATATATATATATATATATTATATATATTTTCTATAGACTATTAAAAGTTACAGTTTTTAAAATGACTGTGTTTAGAATATTATACAGTTCTACAGAATATACTATAAATAAATAGATTCATATTGAAATTTCATATATGTTATACTCTATATAGATTTTATATGTTCCTATAGAGATAATCCCTATAAATTGTTATAATACATTTAAAAAATACAGGTAAGGACTATAATTATTCATAGAAATTTTATAGTTTTATTATAGAGAACTTGTCAAATCATTTGTATAGAATATTTTATAGAATTTCTATAGAATATGCAAGATGTAAAACATGTTGGTAGACTATACTGGTCAGACACGAATGTGTCAATACAATATTGAATGAAACAAAAAAAAATTAAAAACATAGACATTACATTAATAATTCTATAGAAACTAGTTCCTCTATAAAACAATTTTATAGAAAATACTAATTTCTGTAGAAATTGATTATTCTCAATAGAAGGTCTATAAAGTTCTATAGAATTTGTATGTGTGGGGTAGGCCTAACCTAGTAGGTAGTAGTAGGCCTAGACTACGTAGTAATACTAGCTAGTATTAGTAAAGTAGGTTAACCTATAGAATATCATTTTTGGACAGTCTACATAGTAACATTGACATTTTATTACTTGTTATAAGGCGTACGCCAGGGTTTACCCCTCCCCTCAACGTACGTTTTGTACGCTTGTGAAATGTTGAAAATTGTGAAGGACCCCTTAGCAACCCATGATATATTATGTTGAGTTATAGTGGTGTAATATTACTAACGATGCATACTTGTCTGGTGAAGTGTAGCCGAGTAGTAAAGGTGCGTGTGTTCAGAAGAAAGTTATTCGACCTTATGAGGTTCGATAATCTCTCTTGACGAGTCGAATGGCATATTGTGAGATATGCGAAATGGAAAATATTTGAAACATTCTAAAATCTGCATCTTACTTCTCCACTCTATCCACCAATTCAGGCCTGGCATCATAGACCTCAGGTGGCAAGCCCATCAATCGGGCTTGCACGCCGTCCGCTTGCAGTCCGCCGGTCAACACGGTCGAACGATCTGACAGAGTTGACTCTGTTGCGACCAACAAATATATACTGTAAATAGCGTTCTAAAATCGAAATTTTACTTCCAATCCCCTTTAAATTTAAATGGAGCCGAGATACATGGAATATTGTATATTTGTGAACCTATAAAGTAAATCAGTCCATCAGCTTTTAAGTTATGAGTCCAGAAGGACACACACTCACACACACCCACCCACACACACACACACACAACTGATACACAGAAAGACGTGCGCTACTATTGCAATACCCTTCGCCTCTTCGAAAGTCGACAGTGATTAAGATAAAGAAAAATCAGAGTATCTATGCCATAAGGGAGGAATGAAACGAATTTAAAAGGACTACGACAAACTAACATGAACTAACCGTTTGTTCAGTGAGGGCCGCTCCCAATGAATATTGAATGAAGTTGAGTTGTTGAGGCGGAGTTGTTGCACCCACAAATGTAGTAACGCCCACAAATGTACCAAAAAACATGCCATCTTCGCACCCAAATATAATTTTCTTTTAACTTCGAATGAATGAATGAATTGAGCTATACACAGTAAGCTATCGCTCTGAGACTTTATTGTATAGAGCACTTTAAAAATGCTTGTTTATTATTATTATTATTATTATTATTATTATTATTATTATTATTATTAATGTAGGAGATGAGACCCACAAAATTGGCAAACCGCACATTTTGTGACAGGAGCATGACATTTTTAGCGTTTAATAAAAGGCTTGCGAACAACAAAAACAGCGAAAGAGTCAGAGAGGAATTAAAAGTCAAGGTTTTAGGAGGAGTATATTATGCGTCAAAGGTTATATCTCTGGAATATATATCTCATTGGAAAATTAGAAAGAAACATGCATATAAGCCTACTGAATATTTTGAAAGAAAGTTAGCTTCTACCCTCAGCGGTTGTCAAGATACGGATGGCCTATATAATATTTTACTTTCGTCAAGTTCTCAAAACTTTCTGTTGGTCATTTCTTCCGATCCTTAATTATTCGGTCGAACAAGCTATATATTTCGCCATATGTTTTGCAATAATCATAGTTACGGAAGAAAACACATGTGTTTAAAAACGTTTTGAGAACTTGACAAAAGTGAAATCCAGAAATTCTCTCTCCATCACATGCCCCATACAACATGCAAGTTACCTTAATTATACAAAATTTGTTGGGAAAGTATTACATAGGGCATCCGTTTCTTAATGTTCGTAAGATAATTCTCTTTCAAAATATTTATGTTTCTATTTCTTTCAATGAGATGTATTTTCCGAATATGGCATAACCTTTGAAACATAAACACACAGAACTTTAAAAAAATGACTCTTCCACTGTTTTTATTGTTCGCACGCCTTATAATTCAAACGTTCAAAATGTCATGTTTCTGTCACAAAATGCGCGGTTTGGCCATTTTTGTGTCTTATTTCCTATATTCAAATTTAAAATGATTTGGACTTCGCCCACATTTGTGGGCGAAGAGGTCATGTTTTGGCAAATGTGCCAAGGTATGGTAAACGTGATAGGTGTTAGGCCTATGATTTTCTTCCAGTGTTCATTCAGAAGTTTTACTTGGATCCTAATGAGTACACAAATTGGATTATTTGTTTTGTTTTTTTAGAAAAATTTCACTATTCAGCTTTCCATTGGGCTTGTATTGTAGTAGTTCATTATTTATTTTTATTTTTATTCTTATATGTATAACATTGTTTTGAGATTGCATTACTACTTTGATAACAATGTAATTATTTTTAAAATAAGCCGCTAGACGCTTATACAAGTCATCTTGACTTAAGGATGGTCTTTGTTGTATCTCATAGGCGTCTAAACTATTAATTTATAATAATATGTCTATCCAATTCAGGCCAACAATATAAACGTTTAATTTTTTTTATTATTTTTTTTATCCACCCAACGAATCTCTACTAACTTCCAAGACGGAGAGGAGGGAGAGGGGTCAACCCCACCCCTCCCCTCCCCCGTAGCGCCGCCACTGGTCTAGGCTTCACCTGTTATAACCAGCGCCGTAGAGCAAGATTCGTTAGGTTCGCTGTGTGCGTTCATAGCAATAAATTATTCCATCACGATGTAACTGTAGTAAAATCACTCCAGCTTTGAGATTTTTGCACACAAGATAAAACACGGAGGTACTCTATCGATAGAGTGATCAGTCAGGAATAGGAAAATTTAATGCAAATGGAATTGATAATGTCACACTGATTCATTATGGTATAGTAATTCCTAGAAAGGATTACGTAACCCTTTACAATTTATTTAATTATTTATTTATTGTAAACTCTTGTGGAAAAAATAGATATGTATTCATTCATTATTAGTTTGTATCATTTTAAGGAATTGTTCCTGTTTATTATTATATATTTTCCTACACAGCTTGAAATATCTCATAGAATTATTGAAGATAGCGATGGCAAATCTGAAATATCTGAACCGCATCGAAATGTCTGCATAGAGGTAAGCACAGTATTTTATTATTAAGCAACCTAATGCGGCACGACCACAATATTTTGATTTATAAACCCGCCATGCCTGTATTATCGAAAGTGGATTAAGTTATTCCAGGACTAACTTTAGTCCTGTACTAGTATTCTCGAAAGCTGGAATAAGTATTCAAAAGCTTGACCCTCGACATATTATGTAAATCATGGAATATGTGAGGTAAAAAGAATATTCTCCATGGCAACGCCTTACAAATATTACTGCTCATCCTCAGTACGTCCTGCAGTTTGAACTGTTTTTTTTTCCAGATAAATAGGGGTATACACAACCAAATATGTTTTTATCTCATTTATGGTGTTTTGTTTGCAATATCAGAATTGTGTCTTAGCAGGGAACAGTGAAATTGAAACAAACTTGCATAGTAAATCTGTTAGGGGTGAATAATTAATTCTGACAACTTTAAAAAATTGTTTTGAAAATTCAATATATTTTCTATATATAAAGTTAGAAGGAATAAAGTACTCCAACTGCTGAATCCTGGTCGATGACATTTGTAGCCTAGAATTTTTTCAGCTTATATGATTACATTTTTCAGTGTACAATAATTATATGAGTATTGAATAAGGAAAACCACTAAAACAGAAATGAAATGAGAATTGAACATAATTTACATTCAAATTTGATTATATAATTGTTTTAGTAATTTCCAAAGTAATTGTAAAACAATTGATTTAAAAACAATGATGCAGTATGTAGGCCTATATTCAACTAAAATATAATGTTACATTTATCATACAGTAAATCAGAATATTTAAAACTATTGTTCTTCAGTTGATAGAACGGTAGTTGGTAGGCCTATGAATTATTTATTGATCGTTCATTTGGCTCTTGTTGTCATTTCTTCTATTTTCTTACATACCAATTCAGCCTGAAATAAAAAAAAAATAACATATACTACAGTTTAATCATAACAGTACTTTTATTACATTAGCATAGCATAATTATTAGTCAAATTCATTATAACAATGAATACATTATTAATGTGTAATTATCTATTGTTTTATATTGTATATGTTACACATGTCAATGAAGGAAAATAAATTTTAGTTTGAGTTTGAGTATTATAATAACTTTTTATAGTATTAATTATTTTTTACAAAAATAAGTATAAAAAAGTATAAATATAAAGGTCTATTACAGTATATTCTACCCTTTCTAATATTATTTTGAACAAAAATATTTAAATTTATTATAGTACGGTATTTGCAATATTTTAATTATATACTAATATATTAATCAATTAAAAAATAAATTATATTACGGTACATTTTGTATTATAAATAATAAATAAAATAAATTATTATTTATATTCAATTCAATTTCAATTCAATTCAATTTAGTTTTATTGTCCAATTTTAAAAAGGAAAAGAAGAGCAGAAACAATTCATTGTATATTTAAAAATATAAAAAAGTATAAAAAATTGTACACACAGTACTAGCATGCCTAACAACTCGTTTTAGCAGGCTCGTAGGCAGGATTTTCGATGGGGAGGAAATTGGGGGGGGGGGGCTTGGGTGGCAATGAGTCCGCACCCTCTGCATCCCCTGTCTACGGGCCTGAAATGATACTTTGTCGCTTTTCTCACAAAACCCCTCCAGGCCTTTGCCTCTGGACCACTAAATTTAAAAAAAGTCCACTTTTTAAAACTATTACTTCACTAAAATCGTTCCTAATGTTCGCAAAATGCTATAGTATGCATTACATTTTTTGCCCGATCTTCTACCCGTTGATTTTCAATAATGTGCTACGAAATCTGTCGGAAACTATCAGCTCCAGTGATTGCAGATTGATCCATGTCAAAAAATCATAAATTAAGTTTGTGTAAGAGTGCCATTTCCAGCCATTTTGAGGTGCCATAATCATAAATTCTCTTACCTTAGCCCCACCATGACTGGTATTGACCATCTGTCTGTGCATGTTCCTCCTTTTACCCCTCCCTCTATTTCTAATTCTTTACTGTAGGTCCCTAGACAGTACTCAAATGAATGAAAATTTAAATAGGATATTAATAATTGAGGATTTTAGAAATCCATTACAAAAAGTATCACAATATGCTAATTTGTCAGAGCTTCCAGAAGATTCGCCCCACCTTCGAGGGAATCCCTAAGCAGTCGCCCATCGTTAGGTCCACTTCGGTTGCAAAACGCACCTCCCCATCGAAAATACTGCCTACGGGCCTGAATTTTGAGGGTTTTACATAATAGATATTTCAAACACATAATTCCAAAATATATCATTTAAATTTTCATTAATTTGGGTGTTTTTTTGCGACCTGAAAAAGTAACGTTATTATTTCCTGTACATCTGCAGGCCTATAAATAACATCCTTCGTATTATATAGATCAATCTCCAATCACCGGAGACGATCAATTTCTAACAAATTTCATACCACATTATTAAAAATCAACGGTTAGATAAGCTAGCAAATATATAATGCAATGCATATTAGGAACGATTTTGTCATGAGGCAAAAGTCCCAGTTAGCAGTAATGGTCGATAGTGAGCTGTCTGATAGTTGAGAGTGGGCTGTCAAATGGTCCAGAGGGAGCTGTTAGCAGCTCCATAACTTAACTTTAATTGGTTTTAAGAATGCCCATTGGGAGTTAACAAGAGAGTCCTGGCCAGCAACATATAGCCATTGGAATGTAAACAAGAAACCCATTACAATCACTCACTTCATCTCACGGGCGTCAGTGGCAATAAATAATTTAAGAACCCATCGCTATTCAACATACCAGCAGGATTTATAACCTGGGTTTTTTTCCAAAAGCCGGGTGCCATGGACCAGTTCTGTTAACGGCCAAAAATGCAGCATGGTGAAATCATAGGTTTTAAAAAGTGGACCTTTTGAATTGTTTGAGGGGGGGGGGTGCGTCTACACCCTCTGCACCCCCCTCCCCCCACCACTTGCCTATGGGCCTGGTCTTAGCCTATCTATATCAGACACTCTACCATTACCAACCCAAACAAGGCATCCAAAAACAAGAACACTTTCAATGACTGCAGTATAAAACAGTTTCAAAATTGTTTTGTCAACCTTAAAGTAATTAAGGTGTCTAAGAAAATACACATTGGATTTAGCCTTTTTGAGAACACCCTCTAACTGCTCTCCATAATTTAAGTTCTTATCAATTGTAATTCCAAGGTATTTATAGCTATTGGCTCTTTCAATTTCCATGTCATTAATTCTAGGTGGATGAACACTATCACAATTCTTGACCCGGAAATCAACTACCATTTCTTTAGTCTTGCTATAATTAATTATCAATTCATTATCTTTACACCACTCATCAAAGTAAGAAACTGTGTCAGTATAATGAGTTGGGGAGTTTTTACAGAGTCCTACAATTACAGTGTCATCCGCATATTTCAGAATACGAGTATCGTTCGAACTTGAGCGACAATCATTTGTGTATAAACTGTACAGTAATGGTGACAGCACGCAACCTTGAGGTAACCCTATATTTGTAATAATTGATCTTGATAAAAGAGATTCAACTCACACACTCTGTTTCCCCTTTGATAGAAAACCCTTTATCCACATTGTAACTTTCGGATTTACATTCATATTCTGAAGCTTGTTAATGAGTATATTAGGACGTAATGTGTTAAACGCACTTGAAAAGTCAACAAATGTCAAACATGCAAAGCACTGCTGTCGGTCTGTCTGTATGTTCTTTGATAAGATTTATAAGCGTTAACACAACATCGTCAACGGATTTACCATGTTGGTAGGCAAATCGTATGGGGTCAATTTTTGATTTGAGTGGGTCCATTAGTAGTTTTGCAATTATACGCTCAAAAGTTTTCATCACTACAGACGTGAGTGCAACAGGACTATAGTCGTTCAACTCGGTAGGATGTGGTCTCTTAGCGACTGGCACAACAATTGCAGACTTCCAACATTTTGCTACAAGATGTTGGTTAATTGACCTCTGAAATAATATGGTGTATAGGGTGGCAAGAGCATCTGCACATGTATGTAGGACCTTAGAGCTGATTTGATCTGGTCCAAAGGACTTCCTTGGTTTACATTTTATAAACTGCTTTCAGACTTCCCATTCATTAATTACGATGGGGTTATTTTCATATATGTTTTTCTCTTGTTATTTTTTATATTACCAGTTATCAATAATAATTATTAAATTTGATATAGTTATGCTTAAAAATAATAATAATAATAATAATAATAATAATAATAATAATTGTCGACTTATATAGCGCATATTGTAGACCAACCTAAGTTATTAAGTAAGTTTAAATATGTTATGTGCACATTTCACTATGTGCTTTTTATATTACAGTATTGATAAATTGTACATAAGCAATTGGCTGGCTACAGTGTGCATTTTACTGCAATAAAATCTTTTTACATTTTCTCTTTATCTCCAATCATTCTGTATTGATATTTCGATATGAAATATACAAAAGAAAACATTTACAAAAACCAGGACGCAGCCTGAATCAAGAGGCTTACGCAGGCAAAAAGCAGTTCATATATCAAGAACACGAAACAAACACAAAACAGAAACATTAAGGTAAAGCATTAAAATCTAATATAAAAGGATCATTCAAAATTTAGGTTTAACAATTATTTACAAGATAATTTATAAAAACTAGAATTTACAGTTAAGCCGTTACAATTTATAAAAAAAGAAATTTTACATTTTATTTACAAATTACTTATTCAAAACTTAGATTTATAATTTAGGTTACAAACTTATTTATTCAAAATTAAGTTTTACAATTATTTTTGTCATTA